AAACTGAGTAGCCCCTTGGGAACACGACCTCATTTAAAATATTTTCTTCAAGTTTAGTCTCTGTTAATGCGACAATATCTGGGACTTTGAGCTGAATTATATCCTTCAACTCCAATATTTTCGATCTCACTCCATCTATGTTGGTGTATACTATTTTCAACATGTTCCCCTTCCCTTTGTTCTTTACACCCCCTTCCTTTAATGATTTTGTTGCTTTGTCTTTATGTACCATTTCACAAGCTTTCCAGTCCCTGAAACTTTGTTGAAAAAAAAGAATTCCTTCTTCATTTCTATCCCCATTTCGACGTTTCGCTTCAAGGAGGTTCATTTTCAACTTTTCTCTGTCCTCTTTTGAGAGGTCTTGTCTTATTGACCAAAGTTTACCAACCTCATCACATTGCAATTTTCTGGTATTCCGAAGCACTTCTATCATATACTTCACTCCATTAAACATCACCCTTAAGGGGCGGTTCTTGTCTTTCTCATATTTTCCTATCCTCCTAAAATCACTGACAGGCTCCTTTGAATTTAAGCCTTCTCCTAATCCCACTATTTTTTCTATATTTTAATTTCTTTTGCTGCTCGGTCCACCCTAGATGAAATTTCCTTCTCTAAACATCCACAAATTATTATGGACTTACTTCTATCTACAGTGTTTTGTACCAGTTTACTGTTGGTTACCAGTTCTTTCCTAATTGCTTGCCTAAGTTCCGCTTCTTGTTTGTCACTTCTGGTTTTGACTTCCAAACACACTTCCTTGATTGTCTCTTTCTCTTTTACAACTTGGGAATACGTCCCTTTTATTTCTTATTTATACTTTTCTAGTTCTTTATTAGCCTCCTCTATTTGGGTTGCCTATGAAGTTTCTCGTTGCATCTCCTTGCCTAACTCCATGTTAGCCCTCAGGCAGCCTTGGACTTGTACTCACCTATTTGTACTTGCGGGGGTTGAGCTTTGGCTCTTTGGTCCCGCGTCTCAACTGTCAATCAACTGGTGTACAGATTCCAGAGCCTACTGGGCTCTATCATATCTACATTTGAAACTGTGAATGGAGTCAGCCTCCACCACATCACTTCCTAGTGCATTCCATCTGTTAACTACTCTGACATTGTGTGTGTGTGTATTTATTTACTATTTATATCTGCAGAATGAAGCTATTAGCTCTTGGACCCCGCCTTTCTAATTTATTTTTCCTCTATTATGTCTACTACAAATATTTTTCTCTATCACACACACATCCCCAAGTAGCAGCCCGTAGAAGCTGTTTAACTACCAGGTACCTATTTACTGGTAAGTGAACAGGTCTTAATGTATACAGGTATATACATTATATATGGTCCTGTATACAGGTATACAGGACCATATATATACAGGTAGGTCCTGTATACAGGTATACAGGACCTACCTGTATACCTGTATACAGGTATACAGGTAGGTCTTAATGTATACAGGTCTTACATAGCATCCTGATGCTATGTAAGTGAACATAGCATCAGGATGAAAGAAACTCTGCCCATTTGTTTCTGCCTCTGCTGGGGATCGAACCCGGACCCTTAGGACAACGACCCCAGAACACTGTCCACTCAGCCGCGAGGTCCCTGTGCGTGTGTGTGTGGGGGGGGGGGGGGGGGGGGGGGGGGGGGGGGGGGGGGGGGGGGGAGGGGGAGGGGGGGGGGGGGAGGGGGGGGGGGGGGGGGAGGGGGGGGGGGGGGGGGGGGGGGGGGAGGGGGAGGGGGGATGGCACACACACGCGCCTCCACCTTTCGCCTTTAAGTTCACACTTCTTATTTTTTTTTTTGCATCAGCAGAATCGAACTCCAGCTCTTGTTCGCCGCCTTTTTTTTTTTAGCATACTGTCGTTCAATGGAAAGTATGCAAAGTGGTATATATTCAGCCCGGCCTCCTAAGGTTTCCCAGCGTCAAGAAACTGTCGTACTAAAATGCTCTTATCTTATACCAGAGGAAATTGAATTGAAATATGTTTATTGAGGTAAAATACACACAAAGGGATGAGGTAGCTCAAGCTATTCTCACCCCGTTCTGTACATCGTGTTAATACATACATAGACACACATCACAACCAATAAACATATTACCGAACATTCTGAGAGATAAACATATACATTTCCTTATACCAGAGGATGCAAAACAGAAAATGGGACATTATGTCAATTTCGATGGTATTGTTGTTTTAGATTTAGCTACTCAGAACGAAATGTCCATGTAGCACGGGCTATGGTGAGCCCCGTGAGTGAGTTCGGTTGCTGACGAGGAGTCTCAATGAGTTCGGTTATTCGCGATAACCTTGTTACTCTGATATTTGGGTCAAAGTTTCAGATGGAGGTGGGGTTTCCTCCTTTTTCTCTCTTTCTTTTTCGCTTCTGTTTTAGCGCACTGGTTTTTAGTCTTGTTTTAATAACATTATCTTGGTGGCGGGTCAATTTTCTGGGCTGTTACCATTTTCTAGTACGACGATTGTTGGCCTTAGGTAGAGTATACGTCAAAATGCGACGTGCATTTTGACGTATACTTCCAATATACTTCCAATCCTTATGGGCCTCCAAGGATTAGGAGGACGGGTTGATTTAAGTGAACAAATCCACAAGGGCCGTGACGAGGATTCGAACCTGCGTCCGGGAGCATCTAAGACAATGCCTTAATCGACTGAGCTACGACAGGGTTAAAAGAGTTGAAACCGAAGTTCTACTGAACTTACTGGATAAACTTCGGTTTCAACTCTTTTACCCTGTCGTAGCTCAGTCGGTTAAGGCAGTGTCTGGGATGCCCCCGGACGCAGGTTCGAATCCTCGTCACGGCCCTTGTGGATTTGTTCATTTGATGCATCACGTTAGTGTGATCTCTGTGTGTAACGGGTGGATTTATTTGCACAGTCAACACTCTTGACACAGATCTGAGATGAGGTGCTACCTTCCAGTCCCCAGTCTTCCAGTCCCCAGTCTTCCAGTCCCCAGTCTTCCAGTCCTCCAGTCTTCCTTATGGGTCCTTCTTATCAAACGTTTGCCTAAAACTTCCACATGACATCAGGTCGAGATTCGGCACTCCGTAAAGTATCTTGCCTCCCAGCCTACCCACAAGCGTACGAACCCAAACAACCCACTTACCCTAACGAGTCCGATGCATGGAAAACGTAGAGATTTGTGAGCCGTTACTTTTTACAGTTGGTTAAATTTTTAACGTTAGTTACCATAAAGTAAAAAATAAAAAACACACGACCTATTGGTCGATAGGCCTATGGTTGTTTCTGTGGCTCTGGCTCCCGGGCGCCATGACCACGTCATCATAGTTATCGTGAAGGATCCTTTTGCAGATATCTTCTCGAGTTATCTTGAGATGATTTCGGGGCTTAGCGTCCCCGCGGCCCGGTCCTTGACCAGGGCCTCCTTTTTGTTACACCATCCCCCCCCCGGCCAGGAAGCAGCCCGTAGCAGCTGTTTAACTCCCAGGTACCTATTTACTACTAGGTGAACAGAGGCATCAGGGTGAAATAAACTGCCCGTTTGTTTCCGCCTCCACAGGGGGATCGAACCCGGAACCTTAGGACTACGAGGAGGAGTCACAATAACGTGGCTGAAATATGTTGACCAAACCACACACTAGAAAGTGAAGGGACGACAACGACGTTTCGGTCCGTCCTGGACCATTCTCAAGTCGATTGTCAAGTCAAAAAAATCGACTTGAGAATGGTCCAGGACGGACCGAAACGTCGTCGTCCCTTCACTTTCTAGTGTGTGGTTTGGCCAACACTTAGGACTACGAATCCCGAGCGCTATCCACTCGGCTATCAGGCCCCTATGTTGCTTCTAATTTTTCTCTTTTCAATTAGGACTCTTGTGGTGTTTACATGTTTACTTCCACGTGTTGGATCCAACTTCCACTGTGTGTTTCCCAACACCTTCGTCTCCCCTTCCAGGAAGCATCGCCCTCGCCATATTTTATATATATATATATATATATATATATATATATATATATATATATATATATATATATATATATATATATATATATATATAATCTCCTTTAAACGATATCCATTTTTAAATTTTATTTTCGTCTGACTTTGCAACACTGAGAGGGCCTCAGTGTTGCTCCTAACGGGACTCCTGTTAAAGTATATAATCAGTAGAAGGTGGCTGGGAGCTTGCAATGGCTGTCTTTGACGCGTATATGTGATCAGTAATTATATATACACTTTCATTGCCTATAAATTTTGAAAATATATATTTTCGTTGTGAAAACAAAGCCAGCTATGTGGAGAAAGACTAAGCCAGTATGACTATATAGTCATACTGGCTTTGGGATTTTATGACTTTAAGGTCTTACGCCATAAAAACTATTAAAATATGATATATTTTTTATAAAGATTTTGGCTTAGTTGTGTGGCTGAGCCGTGTAGCAGAGCCGTGTAGCAGAGCCGTGCGGCAGAGCCGTGCGGCAGAGCCGTGCGGCAGAGCCGTGCGGCAGAGCCGTGCGGCAGAGCCGTGCAGCAGAGCCGTGCAGCAGAGCTTTGTGGCAGAGCCGTGTGGCAAAGCCGTGAGCCTTTTTTAATGCAATTGTTTGCTTACAGATGTCGCGATGGTTTAATGCCACAGCCAACCAGTGACATCTTTGAGTCATGCCTGTCATATACAGCCAATTATCTGTCATGTCACCGAGTAACTCAATAGTTTTAATTATAAATTACATTATCAATTTTGCACATGCTTTATTATGCTCGAGAATCAAACATTGTTAAAAAAAAAAAGAATACAGAGGTAAGTTTTCCAGGCTAGTTTCCACAATGTCATTATGACATGCGCCTTAAGAGACCCGGTGTATAAAACACGTGTATCCACTGAGAGGTGATGGAATATATTCCATCAAAACTGACCCATAAAGCTGTTATTTATATATTATGGAGTTAGCATAAATATTCACGTGTCTGTCGTCTACTGCAGCCGTAGTTTAAGCGTGCCATCTAATGTTTATTTACATTTCAGCGAGGAGCCTTGGCTAAACCGCTCACTGGACGTGCTGGAAGACGGCGGAGCTGGCGGGAATGAAGCCCCCAGCGGGGCGGGGTCAAGGCCCACCCTCCCCTACAAGGCCTACAACTACTCCTCAGACGACGACAACATCGACGACGATGGCGACATCTCCCACTCTGATTCCTTCCCCAACTCGGCCTCGGGGATGCTGCCGCCGCCTCCGCCACCTCCGCGTTCCGCCTCCTTCGGTCTGGAGCTGCGCCAGAACCCGCCCCTGGGGTCGGCAGAACTCCGGTCTCTACACAATTCTCTGGGGGACGCACGGGGCTCGCAGGGGGATTTAGGAGGACCTAAACGTTCGTTGAGTAACGGTCGGATTTACGGTATGGTGGGAGAGTGGCAGCAGGCGTCATGGGGCGGCTCCAGGAGTTCTCTCAGACACAATGGAGATGTGACCGGTAGAGCCTCGCCTGTCATGGACGACTTGGACAACATGCTGATGAATCAGAGTATCCAGCATACCAGCGGCATCATGGACTCGAGTGATGCCGGCAGTGAGGGCAGCACTTGCCGTGCAGTCGATCAGCCTTACCAGCAGCATCAGCACCGCCGCTACCAGCAGCACCAGCGGCCGCAGCAGCAGCAGCAGCAGCAGCAGCAACAGAAGCAGCAACAGCAGCACCTAGAACGGAAAAAGTCCCATGATCTCAGCCGATTTGCTACCGCTGTTCGCCACCTGCAGCGACACGTCGTTGAAGTCGATCGTGCCGTGTTCAACATAACAAGCGACATTGCAGACACGCGGCAGGAAGTGACAGCACTGAAGGAGGCCGTGCTGGCGTTACAGGTCGACACCGACACCATCACAACGACGCTCTCCAACCTAACACAAGAGGCAATCACAGCCCAGGAAAAAATCACCTTCGCCACTCAGGTAACGTCTCCTAATCAGTACTTGAGGTGTGGGCAAGTTCTCCTCTTGGATGCTCTGCCACCCGAACAACTAACACCTGTAGTGTCCCAACTAACACTATCATGTTACTAAATTGTGTACTAACACCTTACCAGTCATCACACTCCGAATGACCTCTTACACAAAGTCAACTAAGCAGTTTCATGCTCTAGCTTAACAGGTGGACAAGATGATCTCCAGTGCTATCTTGTGCTATAAGGGTTCATCTACCATAATGGTCGATGTTGAGAAGACAATGCAACTGAACCTACATACTCACTACTGATAAAGACAAGAGCTAATCTTTCCACCCACCATTAGTCCTCTGCATCCCGAGGGGATAAAGTATTAATAACAATGTCCCCGTCACTACTCGAATGCAAGAATTACAACTACCATCAGTGGGTACAAAACAGATCAGCATTATGTAGTGTGGGGATAAGAACAGCTGTACCACAAGTTTACAGTGAGGGGTTGAAGCTAGACCAGCAACACCGTTCTCAGTGTTGAAAAGGGACATCTTTCTGCCAGTGGGAGACAGGGCGGACCAGATACCTCAGTCAGTGGTAAAGTATAGTACGAGGACCAGGCTACAAGTCTGCCGTGGAGGACATGAATGGATTAACACCATCATGGTGCGACTCAAACCCACCGGGCTAACCTCACCGTTCATTAGAGCATTAAGACCACGAAAAATTTCTTTTTTTTTTACAAAATAGCACATCCACGAGATCACCTGAAGACGAGAACCCTTCAACATTTTACCAAATATTTTATGCAATATACGAAGCTATCCTATATTTCACTACATTACAAGATATCAACAGACGTTTCTCGTGTAGTATCGCTGGCTAAAGACGCTCTCAAAATTCCTGGTCACTTTGTGGTAAAATCGGACGCAAAGTATTAAATCCGTATTTATGACGATTATACTGACTGTAGCGCTAGTTTAAAGGGATTTGATGATACAGCTAAATCAGATACAGCAAGTACAGTCGCAGATTTGATACTAATTTGGTAGTAAATAGAAGTTTATCAGTGTTGATTCGCTTGTAATGCAAGGAGGCCATGAGGTAATGTGAAAAATACGTTGACTCGTTATTACAAGCATTTGACATTCCGAGAAGCTGTATTGCAGTACCAACTCCAGTACACAACAACGTTGTTTATTAGCACTTGGATAAAAAATTGAGGCCGTCGCAGAAAATTTTGTGATCACTTAATTTATTCTGAAAACATTATTGTTTAGAACCTTAAAAACACATTTGGAATATTTGGTAAGATCTTCAACAGGAAAACACAGGGTGGCCACAGTGTATACAGAGCTTTGTATCACGCTAGCCGGCGACACCCATCAGCGCTGCCTGTGTTTCGCCCGTGCCAAAACCATCGCAAAATAATTTTTTTTTTTAGGTAGCTTCTTGACTGAATCGCTGCTCGAATCCGTCACGCATCTCTTTCATTGTCTTCCATATTTGTGGATGTGTGTGTGTGGAAGCGGACATCTGACAGCAATCCCTTGTTCAGTTGTGTAAGTGCTTGTATCTCACACGATTCATCACGTGTGTGGGCAAACAAGACCAGGGGCCAGATTCACGAAGCAGTTACACAAGTACTTACGAACATGAACATCTTTCCTCAATCTTTGACGGTTTTATTTATAATTATTAAACAGTTAATGAGCTCCGAAGCACCAGGAGGCTGTTTACAACAATAACAACAGTTGATTGGGTAGTTTTCATGCTTGTAAAGTGTTTAATAAATGTAACCAAAGCCGTCAAAGATTGAGGAAAGATGTACACGTTCGTAAGTACTTGCGTAACTGGTACGTGAATCTGGCCCCTGGTGGCCACCCTGTTGTATCTTATGCCTCAGCTGCCGGCACGTGACTACCCCCCCCCCCATCCCCAGTTCACACCTCCGACACCTGTCCTCTTACAAATCACGTCTAAGTTTGGCCGTTTGCCCGTATGGCCGACAAAGGACGTAATTTGAAAATGAAAAATAATTGAAAATTAATTTTGGATTTTTTTTTCCAAAACAGCAAGTTAAGGGTCTGCTGGTAGGTTAAGAGGGCAGGAAGTTCTCCTAAGGTTTCAAAACGTTGTGAAAAACGTTAATTGAAAGTTTCCTCTCCTAACCTTACCGAGTAAGCTAGAGGACTCAAACAGAAAACGGGACAGTACGTCACTTTCGTGAGCCGATTTCATTTCAAATTACATCCATTTTTGGTCATAGCAGCGCACATACGGGCAAAAAAGCGACGTTATTTTAATAGGACGGGTTGCCCACAGAAGGTCAATGATTTGAGTAAAACAACACTCCCGAGCGCTCGGGTTCCTCTCTCATTAAATAGAACAAATCATCAATGACTCACTCAGCAACCATTCTTTCATGTACCACACACAGAGAACACCAAATTCCGTACACCGTTCTCCCGCCCACCTTACATTATCAACAAACGCTAGTTGTGATATATAAACCCTACCATCACCACCAGGTAACGCAGCATCACCACTAAATAACAACATTCTTATATGCATTACATAAGAAAAACAGCAAGGCCAGTTATATCAAGAGAAACCCAGATCAGGGCGGTAGCCTCAAACCTGACTATTCCCACAACCGGTACTACGATTCACCTGCCTACCTACCCACTCATGCTATTATAATTCTGCAAATTCGGCAGCCACTCAAAACACGGATGAGCGAGATCAGAAGGATCAGGATCAGAAGCTTGACTGACTCATTCATCAGTCATTTATATTATATATATATATATATATATATATATATATATATATATATATATATATATATATATATATATATATATATATATATATATATATATATATATATACCATTCTGTATTGAACAGTATGTGTGTTTTGTAACTGCGTTTGCCTACGTAGTGTGTACTATAGTGTACAGTAGAACGGATCTCTTGTTGAACACTTTGTACATTTGAAACGTTGTTGTAGCACACTTTTCTCCCTTTCGTGAATATATTAGTAAACTCGCAAACGTAAATCAAAAGGCGAGAGAGAGAGAGAGAGAGAGAGAGAGAGAGAGAGAGAGAGAGAGAGAGAGAGAGAGAGAGAGAGAGAGAGAGAGAGAGAGAGAGAGAGAGAGAGAGAGAGAGAGAGAGAGAGAGAGAGAGAGAGAGAGAGAGAGAGAGAGAGAGAGAGAGAGAGAGAGAGAGAGAGAGAGAGAGAGAGAGAGAGAGAGAGAGAGAGAGAGAGAGAGAGAGAGAGAGAGAGAGTCATTCCCAATGTATTCGGAGCCTATGTTCATTCCTTCTCTACGTGGAGCCGGATGTTGTTCAGTGCTCTCAGGGTTGTTATTTTGAGCGATATAGAGCAGGTCTGAGTGAAGTGAAAAAACGAGTTTTGAATTATAAATGTTGACTGTAAATTAAAACGAAGGGAGTGGTGGCATTAGAGGCCTTGTGAACTCTAGCCTAGCGAGTTTTATTTTATTGTAGTTATCCCTCCTCGCTTATCTGGGGTCATGGTGTCGTCCTCGCTTATCCGGTGTCACCCTCACTTATTCAGCCTACACGACAATTATTCGCCTACCTTTTGGAACTGTATTAGGTTCGTGCTATTCATTTAACAAAAACATCACAATTTAGTTTCTTAGGGGGCCATCTCGCCCCGTCCTGTGTACTGTTCTTGGAAAGAGCTGCAGCTATGGATTCTCTTTAATACTTCAAAAAGTATTAAATATATGGATTAACATTCTTACTATAATCGATATATCTATATATATATATATATATATATATATATATATATATATATATATATATATATATATATATATATATTTATTTGTCATTTGATATTTGATGTATATTAAACCTGTTGACACAGTTTTAGTGTGTGTGTGTGTGTGTGTGTGTGTGTGTGTGTGTGTGTGTACTTACCTAGTTGTGCTTGTGGGGTTTGAACTTTGGCTCTTTGGTCCCACCTCTCAACTGTAATCAACTGGTGTACAGATTCTGTAGCCTATTGGGCTCTATCATATCTAAATTTGAAACTGTGTATGGAGTCAGCCTCCACCACATCACTGCCTAATGCATTCCATCTGTTACCTACTCTGACACTGAAAAAATTCTTTCTAAATGTCTCTGTGGCTCATCTGGGTACTAAGCTTCCACCTGTGTACCCTTGTTCGTGTTCCACCCATGTTAAAGAGTTTGTCTTTGTCCACCCAGTTCCCCTGAGAATTTTGTCGGCGATTATCATGTCTCCCCTTACTCTTCTGTCTTCCAGGGACGTGAGGTTTAGCTCCCGTAGCTCATACCTCTCGGCTCTGGGACGAGCCTGGTGGCATACCTCTGAATCTTCTCTAACTTTGTCTTATGTTTAACTATGTATGGACTCCAGGCTGGAGCTGCATTCTCCAGAATTGGTCTTACATATGTGATATACAAGGTCCTGAACGATGTGTGTGTGTGTGTCTTAGTCATTCAGGGACTTTACTTGGTCAGTACCTACACAGGTGACTATCTTTCGATTACCTTGCGATGGTTCCGAGGATCAACATCCCCGCGACCCGGTCTCTGACTAAGAAGCAAAATAAAACTAAAAACGAAAGGCAAACGTAAAAAAAGGAGCTTACAAAAGCATAGAATGCGATATATAAACTTTGCGAATTGGCGCGTATCGAGGCAATTTAAAATTACACTTGGAGGCTAACAACTAATGCGCACCTTAATGAGACAGTTAATGAATTTTAAAAGCCGGAAGGGGGAGTGGGGGTAGGGAGAGGCAGAGGACGGAACAAGTTGCGTCACAATAGAGGTCTTTTTGTTGAATCAAGTTATCCTAAGTCAAGCCCGACATCATTCCTTGCTTCCTCCCACATCCCAAATCATTATCCTCAGCCCTTCCGACTGACGTAATGGTTTGTCGCTCTCTCCTAATAGTTCCCTTCCCCCTCCAGGTGACTGAGAGTGAACCGCCGCCTGAGTTTTTGTTTAGGCTTTCCTAGAAAACTTGGAAGGTGCGCGCGCACGCCCTAGACAACACAGTGTTGCCAGACAAAGTTGGGCACATTGTAGCGGGTGTTGCCAGACTTTATGTCCGTTTGTCTATGCAATAACCTTTGTATTTTTATATGTTCTCTTGTTGGGTTTGGCAAAGGTGTTTACACCCACAAGTGGTTGTGTGGGTATGAGGTTCTTTGTAAACAAACACATGGGTGGGGGTAGAGAGGGTGTGTTGTGAGGTCTCTCCTGATCAGTGCGTCACGGGTGCACTCAGCAAGCACCGCTAGTAGAAGACATGATGGGACCCGAAGGACAGTGAAGGATCCCCCTGGCGAAGACAGAGACACTGCCAGGACGAAACCCTGGCAGTGTCTCTGTCTTACACTGCCGGGTGAAGAGAGTCCAACTTAATTAACACATATCACACAACAATCATTTTCCTACCCGCTGCTTTTGTAGCTTCACCTCCAGTAATTCTACTTCTTATCCGATTTATATCAATATATTACCGATTTACAACGAAATCACAGAAAACGAGATGTATTGATGAGGGAATGTCGCCGCCAGTGATGCGAGGTCCATCTCTTTCGAAAAACCTTAATATTTTCTTTAATATATATATATATATATATATATATATATATATATATATATATATATATATATATATATATATATATATATATATATATATATATATATATATATATATATATATATATATATATATAAATTCAGCGGGGAGGCGAACCTGCTTGGTAGCAAGGGAAGCTGAACCACTGGGCCATCTGTGCTCACAAGTTAGATATCCAGTAGTATTTCATCTTCTCGTCTGGAGAATGTGGTACCTGACTCTCGCTCAGTGGCACAGGGTTCGATCCCTTGCACAGGATATGGAAGCATTTTTCATTTTTTTTTTTGCTCAATCCTTTCAGGTCTGGAGTCATATGTATGCCTCTGCTAGGGTCTGGAGTCACGTGTTTGACTGCTGGAGCTGGTAAACAATGACTTGCACACACGCACTTAGGCTGTCAGTTATCGTGTAACCTTTTCTGTGTTGCTTTGATGGTCTTGTTATCTTTGGATGGATTTGTTATCTTTGGATGGCCTTGTTATCATCCCAATGTCTCCGGTCCTCTTCATTCACATGTTCTTCGTGGACTTCTTGTTGCTGAGAAACGTCCGTCTGTCGGCTGTGACGTCCGTCGGCTGTGCCCGAAGGCTGAGGCGCGAGATCACTAATCACTGATGACATATCATTTAGTGTGAGCGTCCTTCCGAATCGCGGAGTGCCACTGGAAGCTGTATCTTGCCACCCAGTGCGGATACGCAGAGGCGGGTTGACCCACAGAATAATAGAGACAGCAGCTCATTAGCGTGTGCATCATTAGCTACCCACCTACCGATGGCCACGGCCAGGATAGTAAAGGCTGTATAACAACTCCGAATGGTCATAAATCCATTGGTAATGGAGAGGGCTAATGCTGAGGTAAGGGGTCAATGGATATGCGTTAGGTAACCACTAATAGGTTTGAGACTAGCGTTTGTAGCGGCGGTCGATGGTAGGGCCACTTAGGTGGTCAGGGATCGAGGCTCAGTGAGCCAGACGTCACCCTGGGTGTAACATCAGTGAGCCAGACGTCACCCTGGGTGCAACATCCACCAATTTCTCCCCCCTTTAATTTTTCTCGTGAAATCTTTATATACTAACTTTGTGTCCACCGGATACCCGAAGTATCCCCTTACCACCTATGTCCCCATAACCACTAGGGACATAGGGACCCCTATAACCCATAGGGCTATAGGGACCCTATATCCCATAGGGACCCTATAACCTATAGGGACCCTATAAACCATAGGGACCCTATATCCCATAGGGACCCTATATCCCATAGGGACCGTATAACCTATAGGGACCCTATAAACCATAGGGACCCTATATCCCATAGGGACCCTATATCCCATAGGGACCCTATATCCCATAGGGACCCTATATCCCATAGGGACCCTATAACCTATAGGGACCCTATAAACCATAGGGCCATAGGGACCCTATAACCAACACCCTAGATTTGTGTATCTCCCGAGTGAAGGTCACTATATCAATGATCTCAATAGTTATGTCTTGATATTAACTTACATGTTAAATGCTCTCATCAAATGTTTATACGTTACTCATTTCCTAATATGCATGCTACTTCTCTCTCCCTCTTGGTAAGAAAACTTAAGAAACTCTTAGCTACGTCGCCATCTTGATCACTCTGTATAACAAGGCCAAATGGGGGGTGTGGGGTTTTTCTCCTCCAGAGTTTTCTCAATCTTACCTCACAGTTTGTGTACAAAAAAATATCACGACAATGAGCGTATTTTGGTGTTGTTATAATGCTGTATGTTTGCTGTCATATTCAATACACGATTGTCTTAACAAGTGCCTCTTCTTACTCCTTTTACTCGTGAACTTTGACACAGTCGAGTTGTCACGTATGGAACAGGAATTGTAGCCACGTAAGTATAACGATAGTATAGACTTAGTAGACACTATAGTATATCATACTATATTTCAGTTATACTAGTGAGAAAAATAAATATTTTTTTTTTGTGTAATTCTCACGCTTTTTTTTTTTTATGTACCAACGTTCATCTTTTTTTACAGGTTCAATTCTTGTGTCTCTGGTTTTCCAGCAGAGTCACAGAATTGAACATTGTCACTACTACTACTTAACCTCTTCTGCAGCCTCTCTCTCTTATTTACTCTCTTGTTTCTTTCTTGCTTTCTTTCTCCATCGTTATAATTCTTATGTACCAAGATATTATCTAAGTATCTGTTTATATAAATTATAATTTTATTGCAACCAATGGTTCCACTTCTCGGCCTACTGTGCAAGGCCCGATTTGCCTAATAGGCCGAGTGATTTTCTTTATTTTCAATAAAATTTTTCCAAATAGTTTATTTCAATTATTATTATTTTATATATAAGACCATAATTTATTGACTTAGTTGTGTTAGTTTAAGTTAGGTTAAGATAGGTTAGGTTAGGTTAGGTTAGGTTAGGTTAGGTTAGGTTAGGTTAGGTTAGGTTAGGTGGGTTGGTTAGTTTCGGTTATATATCTACGTTAGTTTTAACTCAAATTTAAACAAATTACCTTATACATAATTTAATTGACAGATTTATCATTTCATAAGAAACAAATTTAGAAAAATATATAAATTCACGAAAACTTGGCTTATTAAGCAAATCGGGCCTTGCATAGTAGGCCAAGTACGACGTTCTGGCTACTAGGTATATATATATATATATATATATATATATATATATATATATATATATATATATATATATATATATTTGCTTAAAATATATCTGAGTACATTACCTTGCTTTACTCTTTTCTTCCTTTAATGACTATTGTTTCGTGAACTTTCTTCAAGATCTGTCTAAAAGATTTTCTTCAATGAAATAACATGTGCTTGTCTTCCCTTCTAGAGCAGAGCAGACTTTACACAACCAGCGAAAGTAAGATCCTTACTCAGAGCAACCTGTTGCTTGTCTCGTAGCTTCTAAACCAGTACGAAATAGTTGACAATTGTTGTCATGGGTTTTCCATCCCGTCTGACGTTTCAAATGCTCACTTGTTTGACTAATTCTAGTCATTAGTTGTAAAAGTTATTGAGCCTTGATGTATATATATGTGCTCTTTTTAATGCTTAATTTATGTACGCTATTTAATTATTCCTTGTTTTATTTATACTAATGCTCAATAAATGAGATTTTTCAACTTAAATTTTTTGAAATATTAATTGACGCTGGGCTTAAAACATTAACCTTAATTTTTTTTACACTAAAACTCCAAGTCAAAATGGAAAGGCAAACTTTACTAGTAAGCAAAATACTAAATACCGATATGTATGATCGAATCAAATATTGATTTTATCTAACAATGTTCTCCTTGTATAGTGCTGCAGTCTAACTGCCACTTCAGTGTGTCTTTGTAAAAGAAAACAAAAGTTTCTCATTTCATGAAACACATAAGGAACCCAGGTGAGTCATGGCATAGTCACCTACTGCATTTAGATATTAGTCAACTACTGTATTCATAGTCAACTACTGTATTCAGGTCATAGTCAACTACTGTATTCAGGTCATGGTCAACTACTGTATTCAGATCATAGTCAACTACTGTATTCAGATCATAGTCAACTACTGTATTCACATAACAGAAACAAATATATATATATACATATACACCAAAAAAAAATTGATGCAGAAAGTCGTAAGAAAGAAATTGTAACACTTCTAACACTAACTCAACATTGCAAGAAAGAAAAACTACAATAAATTAGAGTAAACCAAAAATCTTAAAAGTAAAAATGTTACAAAACGTGAGATTTAAAAAAAACTCTTCCCTGTGTATGTTTTAATGAGAGTGTTGTCTCCCGGCCTACAGGAAGCTGAGAGGGTCCAACACGCCGCTAACCTAGCCCTGAGGGATGCTGAGAGAGCGAGGCAGGAACAGCAGAAGAGTAAGAGGGAATATGAAGAGTTGGCGACAGAGGTGAAAATGGTTTTAAAGGCACTCAAAGATTCTCAGGCAACCGCCGCTGCTCAGGTTTTGGCCATCACCACTCAAGGTCAACCTCAAACAAGGAGCAGCAACAAAAGCACGATTACCGAGTGCCGTTGTGTGGAGATCCAGGATCAGCGCCACAAGACTACAGATGACTCTGCCACGCGGTCGTCTCACGAGCACAGAGTGACAAAAGCAGCCGAGGGGAGCACAGCCAACCAGGTGCCGGGAACATCCTCTCCAACGAGCGCCAGAGCAAGCGTAGGAAGCATTTCTTCAACGTCTACGGGTAGTGCAAGAGTCTCTGTTGCAAGTTCAACTGGATCTTCCGGGGCGACAGTTGTACCGAAATCTTCAGCAAGTCCCCAGGCAACCAGCACCGGAAAGACCACGGGATACCAGTCTCTCTTCGCCAAGTCATCAAGCATCATATCAGGACTGACCAGCAGGCACTCCCTCACAAAATCTGTCTCATTTGCTGATCAAAAGGATAAAGAGAAGACAAACAGTGAAGGAGCGGACATAAAATCAGCGAGTTCAGACAAAAATAAAAAGGGCGACAGCAGAGAGAAACAGGATGACAAGCATCACAGTACTCTAGAGAGAAAAGAGAAGAAGGACGCAAAACACCAGAAGGACAAGAAGCACAGCAGTACAGACACCAGCAGCATGGAACGGAGAAGCAAAGATAAAAAAGATAATACTGGGAGAAAAGATACAAGTAGCATAGACAGAAAGGACCGAAAGGGCAGACATGAGCAAAAGGACAGGAAAGGCAGTCTACAGGAAGCGAAAGCCTCAGGAAACATTATTTCACAGATATCCCTGGATGACATTCCCATGGCGGACGAAAACAGTCAAGAGTTACTGAAGGAGCCTGAAGGACCCCAAGCCCAAGTTTCGACGGTGTGTACAAAGTGCTCTTCTGCCGAGATCTCCCTGAAGCCCGCCTTGAACTTCTCCTTGGGAAAGTCCTCTTCCTCACCGACTGTCTCCTACGGTGGCACCAACAATCGCCCTCGGGCATTACCATTAAAACGAGAGCATCATCGTGTTGAGCAATCGATCTCAAATGCCTCATCGCCAGAGTCTCCCACAGCACCCAGCCCGTTTCCTCGTCCATCCTCGGGACTTTCCCCATTAGAAGAATCGCCACCGATCTCAGAGTCATCTTCCGTCTCATCTCTGCATAGACCTGGGTCAACGCCTGGACCTTTGGCCCGTCAAGGTTCCATGACCACAGTTCCAGAAAACAGTGAAGTTGCTGGTCCACCACCAACAAAACGTCCTGGAGTTTTCGCTATTAGTCGACAAAACTCAACGCCAAATATTCCACTACAACGACAAAACTCGGGCCCAATCTTTCCTTTACAGCGACAACACTCCCTGGGAGTTGTGCCCGAGGAAGGGCGACTGCCGCGTCAGGATTCACTGATGTCAGTGCCCGAGGAAAGGCCCATAGTGGATCAGACATTGCCACTGTCTCCAGCACCGTCGATGACACAGTTCCCTCTGTCACCTACTGCTTCCTCGACAACACTGTGTGAGGCCGCTCGACGGGCGGCGCGGGAATCGATGGAGCTGGTGACTGGGCCGGTACTGGCCGGGTCGTCGATGCAGGAAGCTACAGCCACTGGGACGCTGCCTGTGCTCGACCTTACTGACGAAGACATCGAACCCTCTGCCACCTCGACGCTTAAAAAGGATCAGAAACCACCTACAGGCGTTGTCGGCATTCTAGTGTGATTCAAACAATGATTCAGGGTATTAACGAATTGTATGTCAAGGTACATGGGAGTGTCATGTATTTTCCCCCAAAAAAGAAAATGGCCTCTTGAAGCATATTGTAATTTTGATGTAAGACTTTTCGCACTCAGAGAACGAATATTATTTGTTAAGAATGGTTGAAGCATGTGTTAGATAAACAAGTGTCAGGGCGCCTCTTGGATTATCTGTACTTAAACGCGAGAATCCTCCCGATAGTCCACTACGGGCTCACCATAGCCCGTGCTACTTGGCACTTTGTTCCAGGTAGCGAATCTTAAATAACAAACAACCACCTGATATCTGGGTGTTTGTCGCTCTAAGAAAACATGTATATTTCTAACGTTAACAAAAATTCCAGTTTGAATTTTTCTTAAATTCAGGAGATAAGATTCCTGTGTAAGTCAAGACGCTTCTTTTGTTATATTCTTACAACCAAGTTCCTATCGTAGTTCTTGTTGATAAGAGAACATAATCAAGATAACACAATTGTCAGTAACAGAAGCCAAAATGTGTTTTGTTCTTTATTTATTTGTCTTCCGTGCATGATTCAGTCTTCCATGTAAAGCAGTGTTGTGAGGTACTAGGGGTATTTAAGCGAATACTTTATAAAGATCTGCAATCATTTGTATTTTTTCATTATACCTTTATGAAGGTAGAAGGCCTTCTGGTCCATGGAAGATGTTCTTGCATACACTTCAGCCGCCCACCTTGCCTCCCAACCGCCCACACTCGCATCAAAGCCGCCCACACTCACATCAAAGCCGCCCACACTCACATCAAAGCCGCCCACACTCACATCAAAGCCGCCCACACTCACATCAAAGCCGCCCACACTCACATCAAAGCCGCCCACACTCACATCAAAGCCGCCCACACTCACATCAAAGCCGCCCAAACTCACATCAAAGCCGCCCAAACTCACATCAAAGCCGCCCACACTCACATCAAAGCCGTCCACACTCACATCAAAACCACCCTAAAGGCTGCTCATGTTTAACAAGTTTCCTCTCATTCATTTCCAAAATATTTCAAACAGTTGACAGCGGAAAGAATTGCGACTTTCCACGTCTTCTTAACTTTAGCTAGTGTGTGATGCTCTACTGCACGAGGGACTCATTAAAACACCAGATACATGTTATTGGGGGGGGGGCTGGGGTATCCTAACTTGGGTTAGGGTAGATCATTTCACAGAACACAGTGAGTTAGCAGAGATGGAGTAGAGTGCAAGTGCGAGACGCTTGTAAGTGGAGTGCCTCGGAGCTCTGCCCTGAAGCCTCTGTTGTTTATCAAATATATAAACGATTTCGACACCGGATTGAAGAACAGCATTTGCAGACGATACAAAAAATAGGGCCTGAAATAAATTCAAAAGACAAAATTACTACAAAACGATTAGATTTCCTTTCAAAATGGACGAAAAGTTGGCAGATTCTGGAAGTTCTGAGCTTAGGTAATGGCAATAGTTGCCAGATATCAGTTGGTCAGTGTTGAAATACCGATGATTGAATGTTAAGAGCTCTAGGAGTACATTCACGTGTGGAATAAAGCTAATACTGGAATTTATTTCTAGAAGCTAAGATTCTAGAAATTTAATATTTAATTTAATTTATTTAATTATAATTAAATATAATTATATAAATTAATAATTATATAATTTATAAAATTTATAATTGTATAATTATATAATTAAATGTAATTATATTAAATTTATAATTTAACATTTAATTTATTTAATTTAACGCACAAGAAATTTATTATTGTTCTACTGGTTAATCTTCCCCCTGTACTCACCTATTTGTGTTTGCGGGGGTTGAGCTCTGGCTTTTTGGTCTCGCTTCTCAACTGTCAATTAACTGATGTACAGGTTCCAGAACCTATTGGGCTCTATCATATCTACACTTGAAAGTGTGTGTGGAGTCAGCCTCCACCACATCACTTCCTAAAGTATTCCATTTATCAACTACTCTGACACTAAAAAGAATTCTTTCTAATGTCTCTATGGCTCATTTGGGCACTCAATATCTACCTGTGTCCCCTAGTGTGTGTGCCTCTTATGTTAATGAATCTGTTTTTATCTACCCTATCAATTCCTTTGAGAATCTTGTATGTGGTGATCATTTCCCCCAACCCTTCTGTCTTCCAGCGACGTGAGGTTTAATTCCCGTAGTCTCTCCTCGTAGCTCATACCCATCAGTTCAGGTACTAGTCTGGTGGCAAATCTTGGAACCTTCTCCAGTTTAGTCTTGTGCTAGACAAGATATGGACTCAATACTGGAGTATGCAGCTCCAGCATGGGTTTGACATATGTGGTGTACAAAGTTCTAAATGATTCCTTACACAAGTTTCTAAAGACCGCTCTTATGGTGTCCATTCTTGCATATGCCGCCGATGTTATCCTCTTGATATGGGCTTCAGGGGACAGGTCTGGCGTGATATCAACTTCCAGGTCTTTCTCTCTCTCTGATTCTTGAATTTAATCTCCTAAATGATACCTTGTATCTGGTCTCCTGCTCCCTACACCTATCATCATTACAATACATTTGTTTGGGTTAAACTCTAACAACCATTTGTTGGACCATTCTTTCAGTTTGTCCAGGTCTTCTTGAAGCCTCAAGCTGTCCTCCCTCTGTCTTAATCCTTCTCATAATTTTGGCATCATCAGCAAATATTGAGAGGAATAAGTCTATACCCTTCGCAAGATCATTTACGTATATCAGAAACAAGATAGGACCGAGTACAGAGCCCTATGAAACTCCACTGGAGACTTCGCGCCAATTTGAGGATTCACCCCTCATCCTAACTTTCTGCTTCCTATTGCTTAAGTTCTCCCTTATCCACTGAAGCACCCTACTAGTTACTCTTGCCTGTTTCTCCAATTTATGCACCAGCATAAATGGCTTTCAAACAAAGGCTTTCCGACAGTCCAAGAAAATGCAGTCCATCCAGCCTTCTCATTCTTGCTTAAGCTTTGTCACCTGGTCGTAGAATTCTATTAAGCCACTAAGGCAAAATTTACCCTCCCTGAACCCATATTGTTGGTATCACAAAGTCCCTTCTCTCCAGATGTGTTACTAGGTTTTTTCCTCACGATCTTCTCCATCACCTTGCATGGTATACAAGTTAAAGTCACTAGCCTGTAGTTCAGTGCCTCTTGTTTGTCACCCTTTTTGTATGTTGGGACTACATTAGCCGTCTTCCATATTTCTGGTAGGTCTCCCGTCTCCAGTGACCTACTATACACTATGGAGAGTGGCAAGCAAAGTGCTTCTGCACACTCTTTCAATATCCATGGTGAGATTCCGTCGGGGACTAACAGCCAGCAGCAACAGTCCGGACCAACAGTAAAGCTTCATTTGGGCTATGCAGTTAAGTTTTGTATTTAAATTTAAATAAATCTTAAATAAATACAGTTAAATCTTTTGTATTTATGTTGTGGAGGGAGGGAATTATCAGGGGAAAGTGCCAAACCATTACGACTATATAGCACTTGGAACGGGTCAGGATTATGATTTGGGATGGGACGGGGGGAAAAGAATGGTGCTCAACCACTTTGTGACAGTCGGGGGATTGAACTCTGACCTGCATGAAGTGAGACTGTTGCTCTACCGTCCAGCCCAAGAGTGGTTGGACTTTTATATTGTGGAATGGATATAAATTTACTTACATATACATAAAGGATTATCTTGAGATGATTTCGGGGCCTAGCGTCCTCGCGGTCCGGTCCTCAACCAGGCCTCCTTTTTGTTATACACCCCCAGGAAGCAACCCGTAGCAGCTGTCTAACTCCCAGGTACCTATTTTATTGCTAGGTAACATGAGCATCAGGGTGAAATAAACTGCTCATTTGTTTTCGCCTCCAATGGAGATCGAACCCAGAACCTCAGGACTACGAATCCGAAGCGCTGTCCACTCAGCTGTCAGACCCCCCAGGATAAAGATAATCCCGCTCAATGGCACAGAAGGCAACCCATTCTCGCACTTGCTTATAGTCAATATTCCGCTTATGAATAAGTGCATATGTGACATACTAATTTATTGTGAATATTTGAGTTTACCTTGAAAAGCTGAATAGAAAACCACAACCTAACCTAACCTTCTTAGTATGTTAAGATATTACAATTAGTACTGAACCTATACCTATATCGATATTACAGTTTTATAAAAAAAAAAATATTTAAATAAATTGTAAAGTAACTCAGGATATTGTCAAATTTTGTATAAAATCTCTATTGTTTAATAAACCTGAGAGGAAAAATTAGTGCCTTGAAAAAATATGGCTTGGAATATGTCACATATGTACTTATTTATAAGCAAAATAGTGACTATGAGCAATAAGTCATATATGTGCTGTCTTGTGCGAGAGCGGGTTGCAGAAAGATAAAATTAATCCTGCTCTATGGCACAGAAGGATACAGTTAATCCCGCTCTATGGCACAAGAATAAAGTTAATCCCACTATGGCACAGAAGGATAAAGTTAATCCCACTATGGCACAGAAGGATAAAGTTAATCCCACTCTATGGCACAGAAGGATAAAGTTAATCCCACTCTATGGCACAAAAGGATAAAGTTAATCCCACTCTATAGCACAGTAGGATAAAGTTAATCCCGCTCTATAGCACAGAAGGATAAAGTTAATCCCACTATGGCACAGTAGGATAAAGTTAATCCCACTATAGCACAGTAGGATAAAGTTAATCCCGCTCTATAGCACAGTAGGATAAAGTTAATCCCACTATGGCACTGTAGGATAAAGTTAATCCCACTCTACAGCACGGTAGGATAAAGTTAATCCCGCTCTATGGCACAGAAGGATAAAGTTAATCCCACTATGCCGCCCCATAAACACCAAACTCTCTACCAGCCAAACCTTCTCGTCTTCCCTACACAGTTTACTGTCAATTTGGGCAGAACCAGAAGCCACAATTACACGAGTTAGGGCTAAGAATACGCGGCATGACCTTAAAATCCACAGGACATCCCATCCCATTGGTAGATAGCGCTCGACTACGTCATGAAAAAATGATGTGACGTGGCCATCTCTCATTGGCGCACCGCACGGCTGTCATGAATACGGCAACCCTACTGGTTCTCCAGCACGTTTATCATAAAGGATTATAGCAGGTTGCTACGGAGTGGCTGCCAACCTTGTCATACCAAGTCCATTACGCCCGGAGCGCGCGCACTCTCTCCCGGCTGTAATGTATGTGATGCCTAAGCCAAGGGGAAGGTGGGGAGGGGCGGGGGGCGTCAATATGTTTGTTGTTATCGCTGTAAGTTGAGAGGCGAGGCTACTGCGCATCTCGGGCGAGTTGGTCATTTATTCAGCACACAAGGGTCGTAGGTTTTGTTCATTTATTGTGCGTCACATAACATTTCCCTGGTGCATAATGGGCTCACGAACTGAACCCCACACATTCATTTAGCTTAGTCTATAGCGCTGATAAGTTAGTTACACAGTTTGATGGATTTATGGATTTGATGGAGCTGGATCGTAAATAAACAGTCTCTTAAGGTAAGCAACTTCCATATGCGGTGAGATTGTTACATAATTTTATTGACTTATCCTGCACACCGCCACCCCCTCTCCTGCACACCGCCCCCCTCTCTCCTGCACACCGCCCC